TTTTTCGAGTGCCTCGTAGAAACTTTCCTTTTCCGTTTCTTCTTTCTCCTCTGTTGGTGCATGCACTGACACAATGGTGATATTCCTAAATTTTCCTTTTATTCTTATTCGGCAGATTCTGTGGTTGATATTTTCATATTCTAGGAGAGTATTTCTTGCTGCTTTGGATAGTAGGAATCCTGTGCCAAATTGCCCTGTATTTTCACTTGTTCCACTGTATATCATGCTGAATTCTTTCTTGTCTATTCTTCCTTCTCCTTGCCATCTGATCTCTTGGACGGCTATGGCGTCAATGGCATATTGAATTCAAATTGCAATTGTCAATGCATCGTCAATGGCATTCTTGAATGACAATTTTTGAAGGTCACAGGTTTTATGTGCTGCATAATATTTACTTTCTTATGTTTACATAGGTTTCAAATTAAGTAAATTGATTATCTTACACTACAAGTCAACAATACAGTAAAATATCTAACTGAATATTGTGTTTTTACTCTTTTAGTGCTGCCACCACAGATGAAGAAAGACAACTAATGCATGGAGTTGGGCAGATACACTTAGGTGAAATGGTCAATGTATTTAAACATGGATCATTAGTAATGCAACACGTTAGTGACACATCTACTCCAACACAAGGATGTGTTCTTTTCGGCACAACCAGTGGATCTATTGGTAAGATTCACCATGCTCCTTTTTTAGTTAATTTTTTCAAATCTTTTTATCGGTGCTTTCAAGGCAGAACTATTGATCAAATTTACATTAAAGGACAGAAGGAACTGTTGGAAAAAATTGTCAATACTTATTTGTGTAAATCAGTAAAAAAAGGTAAATCTTTGAACGATAGTAAAAATAAAAATCCCAAATATTCATGTTGCTTAGTAAGCTTTACACAAAATTCACTTTCTGTTGAGATATGTGTTATAGTTACCTGCTGCTTGTAATCCTGATCTGCCATTGTTGGTTGCCTTATCAGAATCGACTATCGAGTCCGATGTAAACCCCAAAAAGTGTTACTAAAAGCACCAGAGTTGATTAGGAAGTAAGTTTCACAACCATGGAACTCTCTACATGGACTTAATTCAACCCTCATCTACTGCCCCATTTATGTATTTTATAGAATTTTGTGCTATTTCTGCAGTCCTTTTTCAAGATCAACATATTATATCAATCTATGTAATTATAAGAGTCATCCATAAAGTAAGCTTTTTCACTGATTTGATTCTTAGTTCTCCCTTAGTTCAGAATGTATAAAATAGTCGATAAACTTAATTTTGTGGATGACCCTTGTATTTGCACAATATGTCTGCCACTAGAGGAAGATTTAAATGAGGAAATTCCTTAACTCTTTGGAGTGTTGATTTTGATTGTTCTTTTATTTTCCCTTGCTCAGGTCTTGTTACACAAATCTCACCAGATTTGTACAACCTACTCCTAAATCTGCAAAATGCACTAACCAAGGTAATCAAGTCAGTTGGGAAGATTGAGCACAGTTTTTGGAGAAGTTTTCACACTGATGTTAAGACGGAACTATGCGAAGGTTTTATAGATGGAGAACTTGTTGAGAGCTTCCTAGATCTCCCATTAAAGGACATGAAAAGTGTAGCATCTCTTGTTCAGGTATGTAGTCTCTCTCATTTCTTTTTTTCTTTTCAAGTAAGTGCCTATCACTACCACAAAACAATAAACTTTTTGTATCCATTGACATTTGTTAGCAATTAAAGTGTTTTACTGAATGGATCATTAGACAAAGTGCGAATTGAAGCATCATGATGTATATTTCAAAGAACACGATTTGTGTAACAAAAATTGTCGAAAGTAGCTCCTAACCAAGATATTAATGTTTTTTGTTGCTTAAGGTTAAACTTCCTGCTCATACAAAAACCGAGATTTACTTGAGTTAAATTGCATACCAAAAGTTATCATATCAGTCTCTGCTGTATGAAGCTCTATGGCAACCTCAATCTCCGCGCTTCAGCTCAACTGTTGCACATTGTTAACACTTTGAACAACACAGAGCAAGGAAGGAACTTCATTTGATTAAGGAGCCTGCCAAAACCATTGTAATGCGCAATTTGATTTATGTAGACTCTGGGTTTTCTTGTGAGCGGGAATTTCAAATTTTTCATAACCATTCCCAAATAAAAAACTTAATATCGCAATAATGAGTTAACATCAGTAGTTTGGGTGCAGGAATTATGTTCTACATGAAATTTTAAAGAGGAAACAGATATGAGATTGCTTAAATTTGTACCTTGTCTACTGGTCCATTCTGTGGCTCCCAACTCCAGGAGCATTTTCAATCTATTTCTTTTTAGCTACTTTGAATCATTTTAAAGGACTCGGACAAGAAACTATTTGCATTCCAGCTGCGCTTTCAGAACATTTCTGCTGTTCCGACTGTACCTTGCTATGGTTTAAGTTGGTCCGAGTTAAGTTCCCCTAGGCCGAAGCCTTTCTTTTTAGTACGCAAGCACTACTTCTCTAGTATGCACCATTCTCAACTGTGTTATTAGTTTTGAGTCGCAAATATTTCATTAACTCTTGAAAATGCTGAATGTTTAGTACAAGACCAATCTACACAGGTCAGTCATTCCTGAATACAAGTTTTGGAACTCTATTGCACAGTGACATAGAACTGGCTGTTTGCAATGTATTTCTTATGAGAGCAGCCAGTGTAACGTCACATTGGCTGCGGCCAAGTTAAGGCTGGCCGGAGGAGTGGATTTCAAAAAGATGTGCAATGGCTGACCTGTGAGGATTGGTCTTGGTTTAGAGTATCTTCCCCTTTTCTTTTTGTTTTAACAAATACATGTCAATTGTTTGGTTTCAGATTGACAGTGGAAATGGAATGAAACAAGAAGCCTCTGTGGATGAGCTTGTCAAAATCGTCGAAGACCTAACCAGGATTCATTGAGATTGTGATAAGTCACTGTTCTCTGTTAACCTTTATTTTACTTGAAACTAATTTTACTCTGTCAACTCCTAACCATTGGTAAAGTTAATACTTATATTAAGTATTCAGTCTTGTAAAAATCACTATTGTATATTTTCATAATTGCTGATAAAAGATGCTTTTGATAAGTGAAGTTAGATAAACTTGTAAGAAGAACTTAACAGTGGATTCAATTAGTATGACTAATTGTGTTTTAAGTCATGTAAACGTTTTCTATTCACAGGTTCTTCCTTGCAGGATATGGAACAAATTTTATTCACTCAGAGCTTCTTTTTTAACTTCTGTTTTTATATACATATTCCAAAGAATGGGGATTTTTAACTTCCATTCTTACTGAAGAATACACGTCTTTCTAAACAAGAGAGCCTTTTTGAGTCAAATCTCACAACCTAGGAATCTTTTATGACGATAACAAGATCCATTTAATGAATATCAGATTATTTTTCTTCCTCTCAAGTAAACCGTTTGTAAATAATTTTAAGGTGTGTTCTTCCTGAAGAGTAGAACTTCCTCATATTAAAATCCGTATATTTTCCACCAGATGTGTGTAAGTTTGTAGTCTTTGAACTGGACAAAAATTTTGTCGGTTGCTGAAGGTTGCAAGTTAGGTTGAAATAACCTTCAAATCTACTGGAAAATTCTCAATTTAAGCTGCATGCAAGTCAGGTGAAAAAAAAAAAATAAAAAATTAATTTGAAAGGTCTGATCTGAAATTCAAGTTGCTGGTTCATTGCTCTCCATAAACTCTTAATGGTGTGAACAAATGATTCAGAAATCAATTGATGATAGTAAACTTTCTTGCATCTGCCTCAAATGAAAGTTTAATGCTCTCAAAATGTAGACCCTGGCGTTTTTTAAAGTATGGGAGGTCTAATCTAAAAAATCATCAAAATGTGTACGTTCTTTGAAAGCTTTTGTGTTATTGTTGACTATCTTTATTTTTTTTTCAGTTTTTCCTAGAAAAATCCGTGATTCCCCGAGTTGTACATTCAGGGATTTTAGAAGGGATTTCTATCCAAGATCCATATGTTCTAGATTTCCGTTCTCAATAATAAGACCAATCGTGAGTTATTACCTTTAAAACCTTATTCAAATCATATTGTTCAGTTCTCCGTTTGTACCACCATTTAAATCCAGATGTAAAAATTGATGACTCAAATATTATGTCTTAGAAAGACATGTAAGAAAAATAAATAAAACTCTGAAATATTAGTTATGTGTATTTTTTTTTACTTAAAAATATGTGGCGCGTAAAATGAAATGTATGACTCAGGTTTCCTTAAGTATGCATGATGCGATTTATACAAGCATTTTAGAAATTTCCCAGGTTAAGGCAAGAAAAAATTTTGTACACTGTATTTAATGAAAAATTCAAATTAAGATATTCTCTAGTGAGAAGATTCACACTTTTTTCAATTTAGTTAAATTCGTACTACATGATGACATGCTCTTGCAGAGCTAGAAAAAAAAACCAAAACGTCAAACAAATTTACGCAAAAGTGAAAAATTAGGTGTCAAACCTCAGAGCTTTTGTATCAAGCCATAGTAAGGTTACAAATTTTGCATTTTTATATCTGGAAGTACACGGCCCTTCAAATTTTTATTAGAATGAACTTTTCAGCATTAAAATTTTTATGAGGCTGTGGAGAAGCACAGCAATTTTATGTGGGAAAAACTTATCAATCAGGAAAATGTTGGAAAAGTTGTCACTAACGCTGCTGTGCTTAAGTGTTCATGTAATTTGGTTCTTGGAAGGGTGTCAGGTTCAAGGCAATGAGTCAAAATCTATTTTGTTCTTATTTAGGACAAAAATTATAAACAATACTACTTCACAATAAATTAAAAATACTGCAAACAGTAAGAAATGGGTTAACAAGGCAAATTTCTGAAAACCTCTCGTAGATGAAGGATAAATGTTTAACCTTGTTCACCCATTTCGTTTTCTTCCCAATTTTTACCCTGTAAGTTGTACAATCTTTGTATCCTTTGAAAAACAGTAGGTGCTCGTATCAAAACAATCTTTCGCAATTGATTAATTGCAATTTGTCATTGGACTTACTAAAGAAATTAATGTATCTCTGCACTCAGTGAAAGTCCAATATTTAAGAACTGGATGGCTCCTTGAATGTTACAGTCACATTGCTTTGCAACCATTCCAACATCGGTTCCATTCCCTCTGCAGTAACAGCACTTGTTTCCAAAATGGTAATGGTTTGAGGAATCTCTTTCTCCAATCTTTTTATTTGTAACATGAGCAAAGCTTCATTACGCATTTGACGGTAAGACACGTCCATTTTCGCTAAAACAAGTAGAATCTGCAATCAATCAGTTTTTATATTAACTCATGAATTGCATTCTGTGGTTTGCAATTCAATCAAATGACAAAAAGGCTTTTAAAAGTTAAAGGAAGCTTGGCTCTACGCAAGTAATTTGAGGAAAATCTTTCAGGAAGCATGAAATTCAAGCCTTTTTTTTTTTTTTTATTTAATTACAAAAGCTGCTGCTAGAAATAGACGACTTTTCAGTGATTTATTACTAATGTGCCGGCTGATAAGAAAGCAGTATTTTCAGTCACATCTTAAAATTGAACCTTAAAATTTAGAGTCAGGAAAAGTTCTAACTTAATCAAGGAACCCTTTTTTTTTATTGAATAATGGCCGAGCTGAGTTAGCCAGATTTGTTTGGGAAACAAAAGAAAGCTGCACTGCCAGTAAACAATGAAAACTATAATCCAACTTCGATTTCGACATCAATCAAAGCACATTGGAGTCTTTTCAGCTGAATGTAGTCCAACTCATTACAATGCGTTTAAAAAATTGATTAGAATGAGTGCATCATTTACTCTACCCTGAGACTCAATATTTTTCATTCTCAATCCCTTAATTTTGAGGCGGGCATTAAACCAACTGTTTCAACTGGACGTATTTCTATGAAACGGAACTATGTGCTACATGAAATGAGCCCTGATATGTATATATTCTTATGTGTCTCAGGGCTCATGTCTTAATGCACATAGTTCTGTTTGATAGAAATACGTCCAACTATGATTCTGTAGGTTTATGTGAGAATTTCAAAATGTAAATATTTAAAAAGTTGCGTGACCTTCGCTGACAGTGTCGCCCCCTTCTTTTCCTTATCATTCAATGGGAGCATCAGAAAGGGACTGAGGTCTTTAGGGTCATTTTCATTGTATTACAGCACTACAGCTTTAATGTGTGTTGTTCAAGCGAAGACAGATTAATGATTTTATCACCTTTGCCTTTTGAAGTTTTGGCTGTGCTAGTAGATCATAAAGTAACACTCCTGCAGCAGATATTTGACACAGATTGCTTGCGTCCACCACATAAATTATTTTAGTGATGCCATCATAGTATTGATGCCACAGAGGCGCCATTTCTCCTCCCAATTCGCGGATGATTATTTTTTGCTGTTCTTTGATTTTTATTGTTGTTAGTGATGTTCCAACAGTGGGTACTGTACTAGAGTATTCATCAGTGTCTTTATTACCACTCAATTTCTTCAAAAGAGCAGTTTTTCCAGATCCAGTTGGCCCCAAACATAAGCAAGCAATCTTTGATTCATCGCCTGAAACATCCAAGCTATGAAGTTGGGTATTAGGATTGCAGCATATTTTTCTTTAGCTTGTTTCTCTTGCAGTACCTAAGTACCCCCTATTTTCCCTTTAAGGAAAGTATGAAAATACTCAATTTTAGCACCTCAATAATTTAGTATAATTTCTACATTATGATTAGCTGAGCAAATGTAGTTTAAACTTTATAATATCTACCTCTGCTAGTCATTTTTATTTCCTTTCTTAACTTTCTTGAATTTTTCAGAGCTGACTGTAAAACACTTTTTGGGCTGGACTAAAAAATCATTTTTGTATGACACATCAATTTTAATTTTTTTTTTCTAAAAATGAATACTTAAGTATCATTTGCAATTCATATGGTCGGAAAAAAAAATAAGTACTCAGGAATTCAATTTTATAATAAAATTTATATAGGTAGGTGTCATATTTACATTAGAAGAAGGGATGATCTCAAAGCATGCAGTTACAATGAGAAGAGCATTTAAAAACAGCGCTTAATATATGGATTTTTAAACCAAAAATGTGACTTGATTTTATTGAATTCAGTACCGTAGGCACTTTCCGAAAGAATACTTCCATTTCTAACTGTGTTGGACTTAAACAGACACTCCATACTTGCGGATACTACTCTCTAGAACAACGCTCATTACTCGGACTGTCCAATCAAAAACAGCTATTAGGACTTGATTGGATGAAGATTTTTAATTTTACCTACTTTAAGCATGAAAAATTTTGATTCCTTTTTAAAATTCTCACCATGATTTCAAATACGTTTCAGCAGCGCTAAGAATGCTAGGGTATTATCGGAACACAAAAGTAATCTTAGTCTTTACCCAAGGTAGGATTTGTTGATACATTTTGAGAGAAAGCAAACTTAAAGATTAGTAAGAAGTATCGGGCGAAATTGATCGTGTACAAAATTCTTCATTATACGAAGATTTCCTTCGGATTCAGGCTCAATATTACAAGGTGCTTGATAATGAATTCAAACAAAAAAATTTAATGTTGACGACACTCCGATCACCGAGTCTTCCTCATTATAGATCAAAATGAAAGTCTAAATAGAAATAATTTACTTGTTATCGAAACACCGTTAAATTTTGGAAAATGTATTACTCAAGTTAATGCAGTTTTGTTCCTCTTACTACTGTAATCCCTTTTCAGACAATGCCTTTTCATACCAATGGACACATTTACAAATGACATGAATTAGTCACTGAGACCATCAAGAGGAGAGACAATAAGGGGACAAATGAAATAATTGTAGAGTACCATCACAATTATGTACTTAAAATTGTATGAAAACATGAAATGATGGACTTCAGGTACCTGAGTTGTGGATCACAATTAATGAGACAGAGCAAGGATTACCTTGGCCTGAGTTGAGGTTCCAACGTAATTGAAAATATTATGGCTCATGAGTTCAATTAGAATAGGATGATCATATGAAGGATCTTCAGTTGCAGGAGAAGCGCGCTAATTCACCTCAAGTTTGTGTCGTGCCAGCACAAAAGCAGAAACGAGGGCACTGACCTGCAGCTTTTCACTTGTCCCTCCTGCTAGTCTATATTCAATATCAGATATTTTTATTAACAGCTCTGTGATGGTTTTGTGAGGCAAATCAATTTTATGAAGGAACTTGTGAACATCAGTGAGGATATCCTGCAGAGCTAATCCTTTCCGAATCTTCAGTTCTTGAATTTTTTGGTATGCAGAGGAGAAGGGATCGTTTAGGAGCCATTTGAGAACTTCAAAAATATCATTTTTCAAGGGATGTCCACAGCAAGAGTACACTGCATCTTCATTGACTACTGGAAAGGCAGACGCTGCACTTTGCAAGACATTCAAAACTTTTCTCATATCACCTCCAGCCAATTCTATAAGGGCCGCTTTCCCATCATCCGTCGCTTCAACCTTTTCTTCTTGAATAACATGGTCCAAGCGAGGCATGATTTGCTTTGCATCCAGGGGTCCGAAACGAAACCTTGTGCATCTAGATTGGAGTGCTGGGATGATTTTGCTCAGGTAGTTGCAAATCATACAAAATCTAACATTATCAGTGAACTTTTCGATGATCCTCCGCAAAGCATTTTGAGCATCGTTTGTCATTGCATCAGCTTCATCAAGAATTATCAATTTATAGCCAGATTTGAAAATGGTTTTTGTTGACGCAAAGTTTAAAATCTGGGTCCGCACAATGTTGATACCACGATCATCAGAGGCATTCAATTCCAAAACCATAGATTTAAATTGACTTGGTTGGTAAATTTGTTTAGCGCATGCAAGGATTGTACTAGTTTTACCAGTTCCAGGAGGTCCATAGAATAGTAAATGAGGCAGCTGATTTTGATCCATAAATCTGTTGATGGTTTTGATAATGTCATCATGAGAGATAAGTTCATCAAGTTTTTTTGGACGGTACTTCTCCACCCACGGTAGATTTACTTCTGGCTTGGGAACCACCATTCTGAAGATTTATTTAAGTGTTAAACTCACAACCAGGTTATCCGTGATGAAAGTTCACAAACAGATACACGCGAATCACAGAATGGCACAAATTTAGGAGTTACGACACTGTAAGGAGGTAATAATAACTATTTTTTTCTACTGTGCTAAAACCATGCTAAAACGCAACATTAGGTAAACATAACCTTACCTCAAATTAACCTAACCTAAAATAAACAAAAAATCTGCTTGATTTTCCCGCTCTTTTTTTCAGCCAATCAAACACCCGAACCACAAGCGCCATGCAACGTTTAAAAATTTCCGCCGCCACTTTATTTTATTACAGAGAAATTGTTCGACAAAGCTGCCCGAAAATTTCACTGAATTTTCTGCGTGCTGCCGATGAAATTCAGTGAAATTTTCAAACAGATTCAACAGACAATTTCTCTTTAAAAAAGTACTATGGCGGCGGAAATTTTTAAACGTCGCATGGCGCTTGTGATACTTTGCCCGGAAGGAGACGATTTTCCTCGATTTCTCGATGTTTCGGAAAATTAAAGTCCACTGTTTCATTTTCAAAAGTTTGGCGCCAAAATTGATGCACATTGAGTGCTACTTGCTTCACGAGACACCGAAGATCTTGATTTTTGAAATTTCAAAATTCTTCCTCTCGAATCGTTTTTGACTGATAGTGAGAGCAAACGAAATTTCTACGGACCTACGGTGTTTGTTTTTCGGAGCAATTGGAACATGATTTATTATACAGGGTGTCCCAGACCACCCGCACCAGGCCTTTTTCTCGGTTGGAATCCGAAATTCATGGTCTTAGAGCTCCACTGACCTCCTCTCAATAGTTGTCNGGGGGGGGGGGGGGGGGGGGGTCAGGATTCCTTGATGTCAATTCAGTAGCATACATAGTTTTTTCCGAAGAATCTACGTAATTTTTTCGACCAATGTGTACTTTGTGGAAGGGGCACCACACCCCTCTTCGAGGGGATATTTTTGGACGTTGAATGGGTCAATTTGAACTCCCAGACGTCAATTAAAGTTTAAATTTCTTGCAATTTTCAATTTGGATGTCATCAATTTGCGATTCGGACGGAACCCCGATTTTTGAAATTGTCCATTAGGTACCTGGGAAACCACTTTTTCCCGGAGAATCTACGTCAATTTTGCGATCAGGGGGAAACTATGCAGGGAGCCACTATCTCCCTCTATAAGGGATCATTTTTGGGCCTAAATTGAACCGATTTTGGATTGTTAGGGGTAATTTTCACGTGAAAATTTCCGTTCTTTTCTATTTTTATGCAATCAAATCGCAAGTTTATCGGGAACCTCGACTTTTAGGATTGTGACCAAAACCCCCCCACCCCCCACCCCCATCCCCACCGCCCAAGGGTGGCTTCGAGGGTTTCGGGACCATGGAATTCGAATTCCTTGGGGTCGATTCCCTAAGCAACCCCGCGGTCCCTGGCTGCGCCCGACCTCAACCAACCGAGTTAAAGGCCTGGCACGGGTGGTCTGGGACGTCCTAGCTGTATTTATAGAAACGCTGATTTCTCGAGGATCGATCTATTAACATATTTATGCCAAATAAAGCACTTGCTGAATTTTAAAAAAATATATGGTTTCAATTTCCTATTTTACTACGTATCCATCAGCAGGGCCGGATTTACCTACTTGCCCCCCATGGGCCACCTGTATTTTGCCGCCCCCTTCTCATTCGTTTTGAAACATCAAACCATCAAGTGAACGAGTCGGAGGGAGAGGGGTGCATAGCATAAGACGTGTTTACCCATGTTAAACACATTTTTTGCGAAAGCCCTGCAACACTACAAGCAACAGTTCACGGAACTTGGCGCAAAAGTTAAGTTCCGTAAACCTATCTCTATGTGGACAAGGCCTTCCACCTATAGGAAATGATCGAAAAAATTATGAGAGAAAAAACATAAATGTGGTTTAATAATATTAACTTCCCCCGCCGCGCCGCGCCACGTTGATCGCAGTGCGATCATCGTACTGTGTTTAGCGCAATGCGTGAGGTATTCCTACAGTCTTGTAAGCGCTATGCGTTTCACGCCGACCGCTGCTGCACGCACTGTCATTGACGCAATGCGTGAAGTATTCAGGCAGTCTTGTAGGCGCTATGCGTTTCACTTTCATCTCAAGTCCTCGTCATCGTTGCTCTCTGCGCCACGCCGCTTCAGGCCAAATTGCGTATTTGGTTTCTCTCATAACTCGACTAATTAAAGGTGCCGACTCTTGTATCACCTTATAACGACAAAATTAGAAATTACTATACTCTCAAGAAATGATAGATTTGGTCGTCTTTTCTCGTTTGTATTTTTTTTTATACCTACACCCGAAAAAATTGCAAAATTTGCCGCCATGGGCCGCGGCCCACGTGGCCACCCCCTAAATCCGACCCTGTATCCATCCATGAACAATGAAAAAGTGGCCATTAGATGTTTACCAATATTGCATCTTGCTGAAACTTAGAAAATCCTATAGTTCAGAGCACCAATTGAGCAGATACTAGAGTGCTGGGCAATAGTTTTACTCGAAGGGCATAGAGAAAAAAAAGGAGGTGTTTGCATTTCGGGCATCTCGGACTTTTTTAAGGACGTAGGTCGGCACGGACGACTTTTATCATCGATTTTCTTGGAAATGGCGTAATTTATGGGAAAAAGTCATTACATTTAAAGTGTTTGAATTTATATCATGAGTTGATTTCAGCAAAAAAATCGGACGGTATGGTCCGTTTTTCACACTGCGAATTCCGGATTTCTCTGGCCAGGTTGTACCGACCTACACAGGGTTAACAATCCTCAAGATGCAAACACTTCCTTTTTTTTTACTTTCTGGCTCCCCTAGGGTAGGGAGGAAGTACTGTCATCCTCCAAGAAGAAAAAAAAGAAGTTGAAATTTCATCTTTTTTGGACATTTTAAGGCCCCCCCAGATAGCACAGGAATATTCAGAGAATATTCTGAGGACATTCATTGATAAATCCAGAACATTCTCAGAATATTCTGAGAATGTTCTCGGAATATTCTCAGAACATTCTGAGAAAGTGTGAATGAAACAAGTTCAGAACATTAGGAATATTCTAGGAATATTCTGGGAATGTTCCATCAAAGAACATCCGTGGGACATTACAGAGAAGAAAATTCCACATAAAAATTTCCACGGACATTTTATTTTTTAACGATTGAAGAACAGGAAATGTTCAAGATTTTTTTTTTAAATTTTGATAGAAAAAAAATTGAACATTTTCTATGGCATTCAAAAAAAGGAAGGAAATCAAGACACTTTTAAAATTAAATACATTTGCGTGTTGAATGATCATTTGCGACTTTGACACACATTTAATTTTAAAATCATGATTATTTTTCTGGTCATTACAAATTGTAATATTTTTTTTAAGAAAGAATTGACAGTACAGGGATTTCTCGTAACAGGGGGGAACAAAAAATGTCGGTGGAAATTCATGATTCTACGGTAATTGAAGCTGGCAGTGGAAACTTTGAAATAAGATACCATAAAATCTAGAGAGGAAAAACGAAAGAAGTATCTTTATTCAAAAATCAAATTTAGCAAATAAGCTGTAGGCGATTGAGAACAGAACGCTGATGATAGCTTGAACTGGAGAAGTGGTCAAATGAGAAAATAAAATTTACAATTCGAACGCCAAAAATAACACCTACTTGTGCGCTTTGACATTGCTTAGCTGCGCCTTTTTTTAGGAAGAAAGCAAGCTCCATGCGAGGTTTAAAAATTTCTGCTGCCATTTAATTTTTTTATAGAGAAATCGTTGAATCTTTTTGAACATTTCACTGATTTTTATCAGCAGCACTGAGAAAATTTAGTGAAATTTTTGGACAGCTTTGTCGAACAATTTCTCTGTAAAAAAATCAAATGGCGGCGGAAATTTGTGAACATCACATGGATCTTGTGATACTTTGGCCGAAAGGTGACGATTTATTCATGCATTGATTATCAATTGAAGCTTACATCACTTCAGAGCCGAAAAGTTCCATTTGCTCCTTCCTTATCTTCTTTTTCTTAATATTACTGCAGCTTTAGTGTCGGAACGAGGCCTGTTAGCTGCAATACTTTATGGTGAAATTTAACAGGGTGATATACACCACCCGTTTCAGGCTTATTTCTCAGAATAAATTTGTACCTACATGCTTCAGACTCATGGAGCCAACAAACCGAAGGGAAAAAATGCAGAATTGATTCAATTACAAGGGCATTAGGTAATTTTATTTCATTTATTGACAGTTTCCTGTGGCAAAATAGCATGCAAAAGGAAAATATAATAGATATGACTCACCAAATTCAACTGATCCTTCATCAAAAATAAAACCTGAAGAAAAACACCAATGATGCTATTCATGATACTTTGGACACAGCACTTTCCATTTCATTTATTTTCTCCTTTAGAATAGAGCAATGCATATTAAAGGTAACTAATCGAACTTCACACCACTTCAAATTTATTAAAAAATTTCCGGTCAGACATAAAATTTTTAGGAAAACAATAGCTGCTAAGTACTTATGTTTATTTTCTCTGAACACACTTCAACTTCTTTTGATGATGTTGCTTTGAGGCGATTCATGGTGAATTTCTCAAAACCAGATGATTTTTAGTCGCTGCTAATTTCCTATCGGATGACTGCTCAGATGAGAAACTGACAGCCATGTCATAGAATAGTAGCCGCTTTCTTAATCCAGAATGTAAGAAATCCAGAAAGAGGGAGCAAGCTGGAGTGCAGGAAGCCCTTCAAAAACCTGAAAAACAGACAAATAAACAGCATTATACAAGGCATGGTGACAGTTTGATGAGGTGACTTGTGACTGTTTAGCTCTTAGATTTTATTCATACTTGACGTGCAAATTTTATCCGTTGAAAAAAAAAATTACCTAGATCTCCAGCTGTTTCATTTAAGTAGAATGAAATTTTAAAATAATCATAAAATTGCAATTCTTTCAAAAACTATAAATCGGTGTAACTTCTCAATTGTTAATACCAGAGATTTTTTCCAGAACTCTCTTGAAACTGAGGATTTTAATTTTTTGCCCTGTCTAATGTAGAAAACAGGTACCTAAGTGAGGTACAGGTAAGAGGAACACTTACCAAAACCAAGTTGCGAACAATTTATTTTCAACCCGTTTCAGCAAATATTTAAACTGAGAAAAAGTAGGCATCTGAAATCGGACTTTAATTATCTTCTTTTCTCCCCCTCCAATCAAACACAACAATTGAAATTGTTACATCATTAACACATATCTCTTTGAAAATTGACCTTACAAGTTCCCAAAATTTAGGTTAGTGCAATGTAACATGATTTTTCTCATTTATTGTGCTCTTGGAAAAAACAAACATACTGTTTACCGCACTCTAGTTCATTTGTGTAATAATGCCCTAGCATTCAGTACAAGTGAAACGGAGCCTGAGAGACGATAAACTGGCTCGCTCTGAACGCTTGGATACTTTCATATCTTGGTCCTTACACGCAGTTTAATGAAATGCTATTCCGATGTGATGATTGATCATGCTTAATTTTTACGGCAATCTACATTGCCGTGGTGGTAGTAAATAATCAAGGGACAAAGAGACGGAGGCAGGGCTCACGAGAACATCATTTCTTTTTATTCCCTACTAGATATTCTAACATGCAGAAGCTCAGTTTTAAGAAAAGTACAATGGGTCAGTTGTATATGTCACAGAAACAAATTATGATACTTAGTTGCAGGTCCTTTTCGCTGACAGTGCTAAGTCACGCGAGTGATGTACTGAACATTCAAGAGGTATCATTTTACATTCACTGAGAGAATTAGAAGAGGTTATGTGTTGGATCAACCTAATGAAAACGTACCAGGTAGAGTGGGTAATAAAAATAATAGAGAACGGGACATATCATCACTCCTTGGACAAATGGACGCAACTTTGTATTGTACTGAGCCATAATGTTCATATAACTTGGTGCGTACTTGCAGGGTTTGTGTGAAAATGGAGGTATGACCTAATAATAAAGAAGCGATGAGATGTTTTAATAGCGAGATGAGCTTGGCCCAACTTAGTGAGTGGGACATTGGTCAAATCGGGACGAAGGTCTAAATTTGCGCACCTTTCTGCCGTGATGGCGAAGAGAGCCATAAGCGCATTTCTGCACGAGCCATGATTAGCACATGATTTTATTTGTCTTGAAGTTCATCCCAGCCTGCACTTATCGCTCTCTTCGCTATCACTGCAGTGTTGTCTCATGAGAGTAATAGAGACTTCCAACTTGTGAGACAAAAGTATTTCATGGTTTCCAGTGAGTCCTAAACGATACCTGCCCTCTCCATGTTTTCCAGAACGACTTTTCTTATCATAATAATGACACTGTGACAGGTATGTCATTTCATGTGAGGAAGTGAGAACAGAAATTTCGTTGCTGGAGGGAGGAAGATCTCAGTTGATTTAGATCATTAATTTTGGGTAGGGTCTGTCGATCTACATTTCCTGAATGATATACTAACAAAATTTAAGTACTTACATTTATTTTGGAGGCTGCATCAGAAGAGAGACTGGAAAAATACACCAAAATCGTCTCTGGCTGTAACAACGAGACGAGGTAACGGCTGGACGGCTAGCTAGCGCAAAGCGCAACCAGGCATATCGGAAACGGACGGCGGAATTGTAGGTTAGGTCGTGAGTTTTGGAGGGAAACTACGAAGCACGCTGTCGTACTTACCCGAAAAGTTCCGGAAGAAGCCGAATCGTATGATCGTATGAACTTTCTTCAAGCACGAGCAGATCATCCGAAAACGCGAAAATCTAAAGAAAGGCACCCACACAGCTAATTTTTTCTTGACAAAGAAATTTTCTTTAATTAAAATTAATATTTTTTTTTCATCTAAAGAAACATCAATGAGACCAATTTTTTTCTAAATTTAAATAAAATACTTCATTTCAGTTACACTCAATTTTTTTGACTCAAAAATATGTTTCACTGAGGAAAAAAAATCTTCGTCGAGAATAGGATAAGATCGAAAGAGTTGATACGTCGCTGCCAAAGGTCGCTGCATTGCAGGAAGATTGACTCGGACTGCCCGTATCGGTGCATAAACAGTGCCCCTTCAAGGGCCTTTGCGACAACATTATATACAATCGGTCCTTCTTCCAATGTCCACGGCTAGAATAAGAAAATCTACGTTCCACAGCGAGTAACTTTTTATGGACGCGTGCTGTGACACTTGGAAACGTTTACGTAAAAAGAAAATAAATAAATATATTATAAGTATGAAAGCAATTGAAAAAATAAGTAATAAAAGTAATTTTAACAAAATACCCCATAAAAATATATAAATAGATTTTACCATCGAAAATCAAATAATAATATATAATATAAATTAATTAATACATTTTAAAAAAATTAAAAAATTGATTCGTTTAAGCGCGGAAAAACGAAGAGACGGGCCCGGAATTTAATAAGTGTAGTAAAAAAATTAAGGAAGGAAAAAAAATGAAAAAATATTAAAGTGAAAAAAACTAAGAAATTCCAAGTCCCGTAACTAAATGAAGGGTTCAGTGCATAAATCAGGTGTGACATTTTTGTGATGTCGAGAAAACGCGTTTGAAGCATGAAAATTACATGGGACCTATATACCAGGTGGTCCGCACCGCCACGGGCGGGTACGAGCTCAGCTCGAATGTTCAGAGGACATTCTGAGAATATTCCGAGTTTACCTGCTGATCCAGAATATTCTCAGAATATTCTCTGAATATTCAAATGCTGCCCAAAAAGTCGGAACATTGTCAGAATATTCTCCGAACTTTTTGTGCTATCTGGGCCTGGAGTCAAAATAATTTTCTTCTATGCTCATCGTTGTCTATGCTCGAATAGGGGGAAAGAACTGATGGTCGTTGATTTTGCTACCCAAGAAGTTAGCACGGATGCCGTGAAGGGGTAAAATTTTCACAATTTTTTGGGTGCCTCCTCCCTACTGAGACTTCCTCGTAACACATGACACATCTATATGCAAGTTAAAAATAAAAAAAATAAAATAAAAAAAAATTAATAGAAAGTTGAAAACAAGTTTTAGTCGGTTACAGACTGTGGTGCGTACCTTTTTTCATTTAGGACAAGTATAAACGTCTCAGATTTGCAACTTGAAGGAATGATAATTTCTCATTCCCGGGAACTGGAAAAAATCTGGTTATTTCCCGAAACAGCGTCAAGATTGTAAGTCATCCTTGTGGCTGAGAAATCTTAATCGCTTGATATTCAATCTTCCAATCGCTCCTATGAGTAGCAACCCTTTCAACACAAACATTTATATTGAGAAAATAACTCTCCACCATAAATTGAGGGATGATTATTCGTTACCATGACGCCCCCCGTCACAGTTGTGAGTTGTGACCCCATAGCGCGGGGTGCTGGCGTATTTAAACTTTTGAATTTCGCGGGCTCTTTCTGATTGTCGAGAGTGCTGCTACCTGTCTTATCAAGCAGTAACTTCCCATGTTATTATTATTCGTTGGACTGTTTTTTATCAGTTGATTTTTTCCATATTGTGGTAAGTTAATAATACTGTTGCACCTTTTTTTGTTCCTCATGTATTATCAATGTGCTAGTTAGGATATTTTACCATTCAATACTCAATTATCACAGTGGTTTAAAGAGATGTCTCACTTCAAGAATCATATGGAGGTGTTAACCTAAAAATGATTTGGCACTGATCATTTGTTTATAAATTGTTGCTCCACATAATTCACTGACTTTCTGATGTGAGTTTTACTTCGGTTTTCAATTTCAAACTCTTCCTCCACTCATTATAACGTGCATGATCCAAGCCCTTCGCTGCTGCTATAAGCGCAAATGTCCTCTTGAAGTTGTTCTTCGCGTCCTTCAAGACGAGGAACTTGCGTCAGTCTTCTATGTTTCATGCAGAGGGCTCCTACCTAGAGATGGTTACTAGTGACCAATGTGATGTACTTTTTAGCATTGCCCATTGTTTCATCAGGAACTTTAATATTCCCAAATATAAGCATATGTGACAGATGACGTAAAGCAAATTTGTAACTGATTCAGTGGTGGTTCTCAAGGTTTTCTCTGGTATTCATATATCTCATAACGGCAAAGGCCAAAATGATCATTGAACCCTCCAACTTACAACATATTAATATTTGATGACTGTGTCCTAGTTTAAAATTTCCCAGTTTAAGAACAGGCATGATCATCTTTAGTTTCTTTAAAGCTCTTATATTGCCCTTGTCTCCACCCATCAAGTCAGCTACCCATTTTAGCATGCAATTTAGGTATTTTTCTTAATTTAATTATCATTTTTATTCTCTTGGTTGCATCGCTGATCCATTTCATTCTCCAAATCCAGCGGCTACGCTGTTGTAACTCTCATTCATCAGAAAGTAAATTTTAACTGAATATTTAGTTCAAAGTTGGTATTATAAGTTTTGATTTGTCATCCGCAGATCATGTCGGATACAATACCACCTCTTTATTCGTCTTCTCCACCGCCTCTGACAAAATCAAATTTTGCCGATGATGCTGATTCTGAAGAAGATGAGGATGATGAAGACGAGGATGGATACGGAAAATTTGAAGAGTACTCAGCAGTCTATGATCATACAGTAGAAGGTTCGTTTCTCAAGATAATTCAGCTGAACCTGAGTGTTTTTCATAAATCTTAGCAAAGCTACAGATGGTTTATTCTCAGGAAGTCAAAAATTGCCACTTAACTGAGAAACTTTTTGAGCGTTGGGTAATGAAGTAAACAACTTTTGCCAATGTGTGGATAAGTTCAGTGTAAAATTAATACTCTTGTTACAGTGAGGAAAAGTTCATCAGAGCACAATTTTCCTTCTGAGAGTTATGCTGCTTGATGTAAATAGCATATTGATGGCCAAAGTCAGTGTTCAAAACTCGTTGGCGATATATATGAGATATATGCGCCAAATGCGCCTAAGAAATCAGTCATGGCACCTAAAAAATGAAGGCTCTGCACCAACGTGTCCCCTGAAAAATTCCCCTCAAGAAATCCTAATTTTTCTGTTGGGTGATATTTTGAAGTTTCGACGCATGGCATCGGATTCTGACTTTTCCTTAAATGCGCCGTGATATTTAGGCAAAAAGTCAATTCCGCTCCCGAAAAATCTTCAATGGCCCCTAAAAATCGAGTTTGATGGGCCACATGGCTCCTGAAACTCAGAAGTGAGTTTCGAACACTGGCCAAAGTGCAAAACCACGTATTTTTATAGCGATGTTACACAATTTCGGCCCCTGATCTATTTTTCTGATGAGGAACAAGCCAACTATACCTTGACATATACACTTACAGATTATTCCACTAGCAGAGAATAAAAATCTAGGAAGTTTTCAAGATATTACACAAAATAGTTTTCTTAAAAAAATCTTCATGGTTGCAAACAGAAAGAAAGGTGGTCACGCACTTCTGCCATCATGTATGTCGTAATGAATAGGAACTATCAGAAATGCGGCGGATTTCTCAAGTTTTTTAGCTCAATTCATTCAGCCGCTCGCAGAGTGAAGAAATTTTCCAAGAATGAGGAAATTTTAAGACTAAAAATGCGACTAAATTTGGCTCTGAAGAACCTATTGCATAGCACCCCTCGTAGGGTGTCAACAGGTCCAAGAAACCTCTAAATGTCTGTAAATTTTGGTCTCTGTGGATACAATAGAGCCCTATAATATTTCTCTGAGTTTTAATCCTAACCGTTTGTATTTTTAGAAGTAAGCTTTCACCTCTACCATTGCATAAAACTTCTATAGTATATTATTCATACATTCAGCAACTCTGTTAATTGAGGGGCATGAAAAACAAGGCTCACAAGTGCAGCTTTTTAAAAAGTTGAGACATATATTGATGATTTTAACCAGAACTAATCTTGAAATATATTCTGTGAAGAATTCAAAACTAAAATTCGATTTTCAAGCATCAAAAAGTGAATTTAAACTTTCCTAGCACCCTAAGGCTCCTCATAATATTGGAACTCTTAACAGGTATACATATCTTGAAATAGAAGAACCACACTATTGCACCTTGTCCTCCGAACATCTCTATTCTACTACTCTATTCTAACAATATTTTTCAATTTTTGTTCCAGAAATTCTCAACAACAGCCCAAGGAAGCCCATAAAGACAGAATCTATAACAAACCTGAATTCATCAGATTTGATATTAGGAAAGAGTATCCCTGTTTTGCCAAATAATTTACATAGCACAACAGACGTAAATGTAACGTCTGAGCCCCTTTCTAGTGATATTTTACATTCCAAATCTCCTGATGAGAGTATTGACCGAAAAATTTTAGAGAATAACAGTATTAATATAGAAAAGACATTCTCGGATAGTGCAATCAATTTTACAGAAGTGGATAGTATTTTTCATGTTAACAATGATAACCTAGATAGTAATTTTTCAACTTCTAAACCCCTGTCAGAACCAGTTAATTTTTCTTCGGGTGATGTGCCTGTCACTTTAGAGAACCATACTGGCCTTTCCCAGGAAATTGAAACAAAGAGTTCAATAGTAAGTAGCAACAGCTGTGGCACAACAGAAAATAATTCGAATATTGTGACAAGGATAGGAGTGAATGAAAACATAGAAGTAAATGATAGCTCAAGCATAAATGTTGGCGCTAATTCTATACCTTATAGTAATTGCTCAAATTTTGTATCAGCAGTAGATGGAACACTTGGTGATGATGACTTTGAATTTGATGATTTCCAGTCTTTCTCCGAACCAATTCCTTGCTCTCAAAACTGTGAATTTGATGCATATGGATCTGAAAATTCAGATTCGAAGGATAAAATTAATGTTTTCAACCAAACGGATTCACTATCATGTGAGAGTAATTCATTAACTGCAAGTGCCGTTCCTCTTCAAATTGAAACGATGAGCAGTGATAGGACTGAGTTCAGAACATTAGGAACTAGCTTAGCTGACAACATAATCACTGATTCTCATTTGTTATCAAACAGTGCAGGAAATGCCGTCCAAAAAAATTCAAATGATCTCTCCAATGGTTTTTATGTGTTTGAAAATGCTACAGAAAGTAATGAAAATGTTACCACAACACAGTCAGATATTAAACCGTCCATTTCAATAGATACTTCGACTGCTCTACAAAGTGAGCAAATTACAAAAGCAAGAACGGAGATAGAAGGTGCTAAATACATAGAATCTAATTCAGCATGCACCCCTGTAAATGTATCTATTGAAACCTGTGTAAGCAATGTCATTGAGTCAGAAGTCGATGATGGATTTGGAGACTTTGAATGCGCTAACAATGTACAAGACACAAGCATAGAGCCTCCAAGGTGCGAGCCAATTCACCCAAGTCCACCCAGTGATGATGAATTTTGTGATTTTGAATCGGTCAACTCCTCTAAGTTGCAAAAAGTTGAAAATACTGCAGGTCCTAGTTTCAGTGAATCAGGGCAGACTGCAAAAGAATCCCTTGATTTTGATGAGGACTTTGCAACCTTTGATGTCAAAAGCACTGACAATTTTAGTGATTTTCAAAGTACAAATGTAGATCAAAAAAGTTCCATGAATGATTTAAAGGCAGCAGAAACCTGTGAGCCATCAGAAGATGCTTTTGGAAATTTTGAGGCAAACTTTTCGGAAGTTCCTACTGATGTTGTGGCTGCCTCTTCTTCTAAACTGAATGATGGTTCAGAAGCATCATTTGGTGATTTTAGCGACTTTAGTTCTTGCGTAAAATCAAGCGAACCCATTACAAGTTCAACAGTTGCTTCTTCCTCGAAATTTGATGATGGTTCAGAAGAATCGTTTGGTGATTTTAGCGACTTCAGCTCTTACAAAAAATCAAAGGAACCAACAACCAGTTCTACACTTGCTTCTCCCTCTAAACTTGATGATGGCTCAGATGAGTCGTTTGACGATTTTAGCGATTTTAGTACCTACAAAAAATCAACTGAACCAACAAGTTTTACAGAACCTACAAGTCTTACAGAACCAACAAGTTTTACAGAACCTGCTGCTCAGGAGAAACAATTTTGGATTGATCTTTTTCCTCCTTGTGAAGTGGTAAGCTTCTATTATCACGATAATCAGCGATACGGTTCTTTTGTATATCTACCACACCACCCTCCCGTGGTGAGTCTAAGTGTAGCAAGCGATTTACTGTGTCTCAATTTTTACCGTAGCACCACTTTTTTTAAAAAAAACTCAAAGCGTTTAGCACAGTAGAACTTCCAGAACAATGTTTATCAAAGATGTAATACTAAACAACCGATTGGGAAGGCCCATTTCCTCGTTTAGAGAGACAATATAATTTTAGTAATTAATTCAATGGCCTTTTGCTTGCTATGTAAGACAAACATATTCAGAAGCTTGATAAGAATAACATTTTCCCATGTCTTATATATGATCTTTTTTGGTAGGAATTCAGTTTCTTATCTTGCAAACATTTCAAGAAATGCGGAAACTAACAAAGACATGTTTGCTAAAGTGGTTATGTAGTAAATTCAATTGAGAGAGTTGTTTTAAGTGTGCACTCATGCTTTCACTATCTTTCTGGCTAATGATGTCGCTCATATTTTCAGGCTGATCGAGATATAGACGTGGTATCAATCAGTGATTTAGTAGTGGCAAGTCGGATATGGACCAAATTGCGTGATTTGGATTCTTCACAAGCATTAGCTTTTGAGTGGTCAAAATCTGCTACGTATAAAAAGTACCTTTCATCTCTTGGCATAGATGTACGCAATGTAAGTATAGCAGATACAGGCCTCAAAAGATCATTTCTCTCTTTTTTTTTCAAAAGAACAAGCACCTTAGAGTTGACTTGTAAGGAAACTGACAGGAGGAAGAACAAAGATAAGTAAAAAGTTGAGTAAGAGATCAGTAAAACAAATGCAGCCCCTCTTGTAAGAATGTAAGATGTATCCAAACAAAATTATAAAGTTGCTTCAGTTCACACACTTCCCCCCATTAAATAGAACATGAAATCATGAATGTCAGAAATTTTTGATAATCTACTCAGGTAATGCAACATCACAATTTTTTTTTAAAATTATTATTACTTTTATACTTACTTTGTGTGTCCAGGTGTTAGGTGTGCAGTGGCGAAGTAATGTACCCAGATTTGCAGCAAATCTCGGATGCACTCCCTTGGAGCCATCAAAGGCAGCCAAAGATTCCTATACCTCAAAACCTGTCTCAGATTCGTCAAATGAGCTGTCCCAGCCTAATAATCCAGTAAGACTTTCAAATTTGCTCTCCAAGTTTCATGTTCAAGGAATTAGTTTTACATATTTTGGAAACACAAGGGTTCTGTTAAACTCTATCTGCTGTGCTAAGCAAGAACGCTGTAAATCTATCAGGATTTTCCAGCGTTTCTTGGAACTTAACACTTAATAGAAAAAAACCGTTTTACCCATGCACCTCAAATTTTCAGGTTAAGTTCTTGATGGTATTTACGAAAAAATTCTGTATGAACATTGTCCCAAAGTTGACAACTTTTTCTGCTGTGATACATTGTTTCCAAAAAAATTCTAAATTGGCGTTTTCGGCATTTTTGCGTTGCTTGGCAGTGTTGTTCTTAGCTCCTAGGGGTAAACAAAACTACTGATTATTCTCCGAGACTGTCAAGCCAATGAATAAAAGTTAGATCCTCTATGGACAAAACGACCGGCTAGCAGATGATGCCAATCAAACGGAGCTGCACAGACTATTTAATTCCAGTAGTTAGGAAGTAATACCATCAGAGCCCAATTAGAAGAGAAACTCCACTACAACTTTGAGGTAACCCTCTAACCTTCTGAAAGGTATATCTCGATGTAATGTTACCAATTTCTGCTCTTGTCTTATTTTCTAAAAAAAAACTTGCAGCTTTCCTTGAAATTTTCTGTTCATTCTCTTCACTTATTCAAGCATATCACAGAAAATTTTGGTTGGTTTCCTTTCAAAAAAATATAGCATAATTAGATATTTTCCAACTTCGCAGGAAGGATATGTAAATCCCGACTTCAGCCGTCAATATGTGTAATGAAAGAATTAGACAAGTGAGTGTTTCTAGTATTTAGTTAAGAAAGAGGATGTCTTTTAAAAGAAAATTGTTTGTTTTTCCTTTATTTTAGGAGATAGTTCCTGCAGCACACTTTGATTGGATAAGCAGCGGTTTGGTCAATCCTCTTGATGGTGAGTATATACTTTGACTTTCCAAAATGAACAAGTGACTTTATGACGGCTTATTAAATTTTTCTGTTCCTCAATATCTTTACTTATTTTCAAAGTCAAGAGGAACGTCGATGCATTCAAATTTTGAAAGGGGAGAAGGGGCAAGAGTTGTTAATAGTAGGTGTGACGCGGAACCGTTGGGTAGCGGTGGAGGGTTCGGCGCCTCAATAAATGAAGAACAACACCGACTATAGTGGAATGGAAAAGTGCTCGAGGTCAACGATCAGGGGGGTTGAGCTCCTGGCCTTGCCGATGCTGGACTTACTCACTAGACCGTTGCATCTACCTTAAATATCCATTGATCACCTTTGGGGCACTGTAGCCTAATGCTCTGTTCTAATGACGTTGTGCCCTTGTGCAAGGTCCATGGGTATTTTTGGGAGATGCATCAATTCCTGATGTAACAGCCTAGGGAAAGCTTGCGGTGGTGCTTGTATGCGCACCAACCGCAGCAGGCTATCAATTTTTGGAGAAAGGTATCAAAATTTGTAGAAATCTCCAACAATGCTGGCAATACTCGAAAAGAGGTAAGCAATCCAGTCACATCTAGATTGCATGTTTCAAAATCTCATCCTCTATTTTAAGTTTTTAGAAGGAATGTAGCCAACATCAGGATCCCTGAGAGATAAAGATTATTCGCACAATATTTTAAGCGAAAATGTTGCTCAGTTTCCCTCCAAAATATGGAAAAGGAAGATGAGATTTTGGAACACCGCAATATGGGTGCGACTGTTTAGTCTGACTCCACCCATGTTTTCAAGAGGAAGGTTTCATCCCAAATACAAGGGGGGGGGGGGGTCAGTAATCCGCCCACCCCAAATGATTCCTCTGTATCCATGAAGCTTCGGTGATTTTTCGCTATTATTAATAGGGGTGGTGCAATCCATCAAAACTTACTTTTTACTATACTTTTCATTGTTAGTTTTCTTAAAAATAGCTCACTGAAATTTGTTTAAAACTCTCAGTATAATTATGATCAGATAGTTTGACAGAGTAGTACTTTTAATTAAAAAATTTAACAAGCGCCTATTCAATTAGGAAAAGAGCAAAAAATTTTCCAATCTATCTTTTAAGAAATGCCTCTCCAAGAGCTCTTTTTATAAATCAAGAATTTAGGTCAGGTAGTACTTATTATTTAGAAGTCTAAGATTACAAAAAAATATGAATGTCTATCATTGCTCCAAGTGGTATGCAGCTCTCCATGCTTCATCAATACCATAAGAATTTTGCAGCAATTTAGCGGTGGAAATCAACGACCATTGAACCATTATATTTAAGCAATGTTCTTAGTAACTATAGTAGTAAGTAAATTGTTAGTCAAGTAATAATGTTTTCTCAAGAGTTTCAATCATGAATGCATAGTTCTTTGTATATAATATTAAAAAGGAAATAATACGATGAAAGAAATTGAAAGTAAAGCAATTCTTTTCACTCAGTAGGATTAAATTCTAGTTTCATTTCTTGCATCTCACTCAAGTGCTTTTCTACTCTCTTTCGCTAAAATTTCTTTCTATTTATGGGTATGGTATGTTGTATACTTAATATTTTTCTCAACTAACATCCATTCTTTTTCATGGTGGTGGCAGGTTCTTATGCAACTTTACTTGACATTAATTTATTGGATGCATTTGTAAATACTGAAAGTAAGTCTAATTTTCTATTGCCTTCTTTTTTCCTGGTGTGTTTATAGTTCCATTTATTCTTTGTTACTGTACCGTACCGTACGTATTACCAGTCATGATCTTTTGGGGATTTCTTTTCTTATGAGTTAATGTCTTATTTTTGGGGGAATGGGAATTGCGACAGCTTATGTTTTTATGTTTTTTTTTTCTTTTCAACTGCTACACCAAAACACAGGGAATTTTTTTCTTGTGATGCTTTACTGCTATTACTTCAGTCAATTTTTATCTGCCTCTCTGATGTTGAAGAGCTGGGAAACCCACAATGACACTCCAGATTAAAATATTTACATCATTAAAAATTTATCTACAAGGCTTTGTCTCTTGGTTTGCTACATGAAGGCTTTGAAAAGCTGGGGCTTGTGATTTTATGTTCCAGGATTGAAGCACAAAAAAGGTAAAAGCACATTTATAAATGGGGTTATGCTATTTTTTTCCTTCCCCAGTTTGACTTTCTGACCAATACTTGCTGCTCTGAGGTGTCCATATCCCTTTCATGCCATTCCCTGTATTTTGTTCTAAGTTAATTAGTGCAAATATAGAATTGAGAGATGGGTTTTAATAAGGAAGAAATAAACTTCCTCCTAAGTTTTTATTTCACACAATAAGTGGCAGTTGACACCGTGTCACCGAAGTATGAGGAACGCCATTTGTGCTGAGGCTCTCTTTTGCCAACCTACTCAAATTTGAAACCACTCGAAAATTTTACCTATTATTCCTTTTGTTATCAAGATTATCTTTGAAATCTTCAAGAAAGCATGTGAAAAAGTCTTAAAGGAAAAATTAAAATAATATTTAGTTGCCCTTCTGTACATAACTGAAAGGAGGATGTTCGGCAATTTCATGAGATAAGGCGAAGTCTACTGTCTAGTGCATAAATTCAGGACCATTTCCAGAATTCAGTTTTTAGAAATAATTCAACGGTATCATTCAACATCAGTTTTCCAATTTGTTCAATGTTTACTGATATTGGGGGATTCTTGTCTTCTTTGCACTGTCATTTCTTTGCTTCCTGAATGAACAAGCAAAAGAATTTATGTGGGATTCATTGAAGCTTCTTACCTTTATTCTGCATTTCTGCCGGGTTTGGTTAGATACTTCATTTGCGTCTACGTCCCACACTTCCATGATTCTTTTTCATAGAGCACATTTCTTTCTACCGTTTTTGTTTTATTTTCCGAAGAAAATATTTTTGAATTTCCCATGTCATGTGTTTACCTAATCGGTTACTAGACAAAGTATGCATTACAGCACCACATTATGTATTTTTCTATTCTCCTAAAATTTTTCTCAGAAAATGATATGGATGGTGATGTTGGGGAATCAACTTCCAGAGAGATATTAACATAAACCCTTGACACTGATCAAATGAAACCCTCAGCATTACAAATGACATCATCTGTACCTATACCATTTGAGTAGTGTTAATTATAAATATGAATATCTTCTTTAGGGTTGATTTTCAAACTTCCCATTGTGTGAATCATTTTGAGGACGAAACTACTAGACTGTGTATCTTGGTTGCGACGTTACAGACTTCCTGTTATACTTTATTTTTTAAGTGGAAAACTACTCAAATAAATTTTTGACAACCTCCGTGATTTTTCTTCTCCCTGTAAAGGAAACTTTGTGAAAACTTCAAGGACTGATATTAATTTGTTTTTCTTCAAAAAATAAACTAGAAGGGGAAGGTTTTAACACTGCAAACAAGAAACACAGTCTGGTAATTTCACCTCCTTTTCTCTAAAAAGAGATTATGAAGAGAAAACATTAAACAGATTGCCTGAGTTTATACTTCCTCTAGCACCCCAACTGTATTAATTCATATAACTTCAGGCAATCTTTTTTTGTAGGTGCTCTATATCTCCTTATTTGTTGCGCTGTAAAACTGAGATATATATTAGAAGAAAAAAGATTCTATCACTTAAGTTTCAACAAGAAAACAAAGGAAATTCATCCGAGGGCTTTTAATCTGACCGTGTTCTCTTTTTTCAAGGTACAAAAAAGAAGGGAACTCAATCAGCACCAGTGCCAAAACAGAAGGCTAAAGATGAAGCCATTGATGCTGAAGTACAAGAATTCCTCCAGAGCTTACCTGATCTTTCATTCATGCTTGTGTCTCACATTCAGTTCCCCATGAACCCGACTGTCAATGACAAATCGTCCTAGTGTGCTATTTACTTACTTTTCTATCGGCTGTTTTGCAATTTTAGTTGTGGTTAATCATTGTAACTTGGTATGTGTTTTGTATTTATGTAAGAAGGGAAACCATGTCCAATAAGTTTTTAATTTATTAATTTAATCAGTATTCTAAGTTTTAGTCCAAATGTACCGCTGTTATTGATTGTGTCTTTTTGAAAGTTATGGATTGCTTTCTATTCAAATTCATTCTGCATCATTGTTATCATGAAATTCTTTTACTTATATTTTAAAATTATTTTAACCAACCTTGCTGCATAGCCCGCGAACAGTAGCTCTAGTAACTCAACATTTTCTATGTGGGACTAAATTTTTGACGCACATGTGTCAAATTACCAATAGTCAACAGCGTGTTGAGTTGGCAGCAGTATTCATCAGCTTTCTTTTTATATTTTTTGCATTCTCTGCAACAAAGCCATCCCTCCTCCAACATTCTCCCACTAAAAATTTTGAAATGAAAAATTGTGGAGGATTGCTGAAGTAGGGCCCCTAATAGTCAAAGTGTGCTTGAGCAAAAGGCAAAGCATCCGCTACCTGAAATAGGGACTAAGACCGTTGCTACTTGCCTGTTCAGTGAATAAGGGTTTGGAGAAACAAATCCAACCATGCTTTATTTGCCCTTCCTCAGTAACTCTCTTCAATTACTCTTATAATTTTGTCATTGATGAACCAAGTTCGACAGACATTGTTGTTATTTCATTTTGTTTTAAATAGTTGAATATTAGGAATATATCTGGCATACGAAAATTTCATAGGGATAGAACTGTCGTATATTTTTGGATGCAGAGTTATGAAGCCGCAAGGCCTGCGCGTGGTACAACAAGAAATGCAGTGCTGCCTAAAGTCCAATATGATGCTCCTTACAATCTTCCGAGTATACGGAGCTTTATAATCAAACTACAGTAGAACCCTTTTACAACAACTTTCAGCAGACCCGCATGAATCGTCCTTAAATCGAATGTTATATCAAGCTTTTCCTGTACCTCTGTGTTATTGTTGAGAAAAACAGAGCTGAAAAGTGAATTCTTCGACATTCTTACATGCACTTTTTTATGTTAGTATGGGCCTATCGCTGTGTGTATATCAATGCTGTACTGTATGCTGTTATTACTCTGAATTTGAGTCTTTTTATTTTTGTATTTTATCTTCCTGGCCAGCTTGGAACAAATAGCTCTCCTTGGACACACTGTGATATTGCAACGTATCTACTTGATACAGATGAAGTTAAATGCAACAAAAAAAATCACCTGTGAGCCGTGCTTTTCTTGAGATAGGCACACACAGTTTTATTTTTAAAGCTCATCATGCTCAAGGGATCGTAAGGAACGTCTTAATAGGTACATAGCACTGTTTAGCCAAAGCTGAATTTCTGGGGATTCCATGCGCAGTCCTTTCTAAATGCGTCCATAAACTTCCTCGACTTAAGTTTGTTTGAGTTAGGTATCCTCATGTATATTGAAATCTCAATACTAAGGCGCCCTCAAAGAGACTTCAAGTCAGGGAAGTTTTAAGGAACAATAAAATTGGAACTTTCAATCTTGATGTGACAACTTAAATGAAGGGATTAGCAATGTCTTCAGTCCAGCTTTCAGCCCAGTAATGAACTTCACATCATCTTTTGTTGTTTTCATGTTTTGAGAAAATGAATTTTTTTAGAATATTCTCAACTGTCTTCTTTTTCTTATCCCCGTTTGCTAATAGTCAACTCATAGTGTTATTAAATAAATTTAATGAAGGAGTAAGGTGCGATGAGGCTCTCAATTACCTATTTGTTGCCTTTATGTACCGAGATGGCCATAGTTAGGGAGAAATGGCAAAATTGGATTGCACTTTTTTAAGCTTGTCTCCTAACGAAATTGGAAAATCTTGAGAATATCATTCATTAATTTGGATTGTCTCAGAAGTCAAGTTTTTCAAAATTAATTTTTTGGTAAAAATCTGGAAGAATCAGGGAATTCTAATTTCAAATCTGTGGCCATTCCAAGTTCAATTTATCTGAAGGTCTTCTGGTATCTAGGTACTTTCCCAGACTAGTTTGATAAAGAATGAGGAATTCTCTGAAAAGTTTTTCAGGCTGACTCGGTGGCATAAAGAAAAAGATGGGGGTGGCAGCAGTTCCTGATTTGTTTATATCCTGACTTGCATGGATATAATGTGGCATTGAGATTTATGCAAAATACGAAATTCAAAGTACAGAAAACAAACTGTAAAGTCTTTATATTGGCATTATTCAATATGAGGTATAATTTTAAACCTTTTGAAATATGACTGTTACCCATCAACCAAAATATTCTCATGAAAAACTCACGAAAATATTTGTACCTACTTTTGTCATCAATTTCTTTTGTAGGTACCTAAATTGAGAACACCTCTATTTTCCTAGGAGGTAGTTCCTAAACTGAGGTATTCTATCTTCATGAGAGGATATGATCAGCAGATTAAAGCTGAGTAAATCATTTTAATGGATCACTCAGCGAAATTTGAATTAAAGCACTAAGCATCGTATTCTCTCTCCAAAATTTTACAAAAGAAGCGAATCACACTAAAGTCTAGAAATCAACTCCCATACAATATACACGCATTAACAATCAACATTGGTAGTTGCAAGAACACAAATAGTGTCATTTGTAACATCTAACTTTCATTGGATCTTGTTTGAAAATACTTCATACTCAATATCTCGTCATAGGATTGATCTGCGAATTTCTTGCTGTGTGAACCTTTTTTTAGTAAGATTTTGAGGAAACCTTTTTTCTAGTTTAGACTGTCTAATGGCACACCGACTTAAAGAGAGACCATTTTAGTACAGTTTGATGATACTTAAAGTAAAAAGCAGACATAAGTACAAAAAAAAAACCATTTATATTTACTTAATTGTAATTTTAAACTAAACAATTAATTAACGAAAATTAGGGTAAAAAGAGAGGGCTGGGATCCGCACATCCTCAGTCTTGAGGGAGGGAAGAAGCACGTTTTTCGCATATTATTACTCTCTTTCCTACAGCTAAGTATCAACGGATGAACTCTGGTGAGCCATGAGATGAAAGAATCAAATCTTTGCTTATGTTTTGATTTCGGGATCTGAAATGAAAAACAAAAACAGTCTTTACAATTACTGATTCAATAGAAAATGAGCAGAACGAAATATTTCCAACACTAAAATGAGGAGGAAAAACGAGGAAGGACCTTTGACATGAATAAAGTCTTAAAAATTGTAAACCTAAAATAATCTAAGAATAAAGCAATGCTTCCTTGCTTCCTTTGAGAAGTGAATTAAGACATGAGATTCTAAGACAAAGCTTCAAGGCGGATAAAGAATGGTGGTCGCATTTCGATTTTGGCTGCCATCTTGAAGCACTGTGACGTCAGGAGGGTACGGCTTTTGCCATGCAATTCGAGGTTGAGCCGACTCCCCCGGCCTCAGACGGCCCATGTACCCGATACCGTGTGACGTCCAGAGGGTACGAAATGCGACCACCATTCTTTATCCGCCTTGACAAAGCTTTTTCAGACATTAGTACAAGTTAACCACACCCCTAAAAACTAGGTAGTAAAGTATTGGTGGATGAGGTCGATTAACAAGTTCAAGAGACCTATTAACAAATACAAGGATGGAAAAATAAACACTTTTTATAAAACCCTTTTTCCTTGCCAAACAGGATCTGCACCAACACAAACTGTTCATTTGATTGTTTTGGCTTTTCATAAAATAGAATAAAAACAGTCCTTCATATTGGACTCATGGAGATCGTGATGCTGACTTTCAAAAGACTCGAGAACCTAGTTAAATGTGCTATTCAGGCCTTTCATAATTTCAGATGAATTAGTTTTTGTTTTATCCCAGACACAAAATGGAAAAATATGTAAACAGAGATCGATTTTCCCGACTATTATTGATCAAATGATGCAATGATAAGTAAACCTCATAGTTGAATTGACATGCTGAATCCATGCTCTCTGCTACATTCTGTTATTATGATGGCATAAGAAACGAGCTAAGCACTTTTGTTACTTCTATCATTTATCTTTGTCTGTGCATGATTCGGGGGGTTTAAAACTTAAAACACAATTAGAAAAAAAAGACCATTACCTTGGAAGGTGAATTTAGGGAACTTGGTCATTTCCTCAGGTTTAACTCCACCATACTGTTGAGCTATTCTGGCAAGTTCAGCTTTGTATTCCTTCTGAATTTCTGGAGATGGGTCGTACAACTTTCCACTAAGACATAAGAATTCACATTTCTGATTATTGACAATAAAACTGAACATTGAATCATTGAGGGAGGGCCTCTAACTTATTTGTGGCGAGTATGAGCTAAGCTACAGATTTTTTCTAGAGAAGGCTGAGTGACCATCTACTCCTCATAGGAGTAAAGCTACCAGATACAACTTTCCTGGGAGTCGCAAGCGTTCTTGGGGAGGGAGGACTCCTGACTCCCTTCTTTTAACCATACTGGTTACTGAAGAACAAAGGGAGAAAAATCAAACTAGGTCAAAAATTATGTTGGAATAGAACACATGACACAGTAAAATTAGGTATTTCTGAAATATTAATGCGCTGGATCCTTTGAAAACTTGTTACTTTTCACTTACATTAAAGGAGTAATCCTGTAATTATTCCTAAATTCCTCAGACTTTGTCAAGAAGTATCCATCAAATTTAAAGCAAAACAACTAATGACAACAACCTGTTTTGTTGCACAGAGGATCTAAGTTTTATTATTTCTGCTTCATGCCTTCATATTATCTTTATACTTTTTCATGACTGTGAAATGCACAGCATTTGAGGACTGGGAGGCGTTTCAATATTCATGCATCATTCTTTTAAGACCAAAATTTTCTGGTATTTCTTCAGACTTCTCAGTTTATTTGATTATATTTTTAATAGATCAGTAACCAAAAATCATTCTGGGATATCAATGAGGAAATTATGAATAAATGAACATAAATGGCGCAGTTTTAAAATCTTCACGCCTACTACATTTCCTTGAAAGAATAATGGAAAATACTTCAGAAAGATAGCTGTAGGAAAGCTAAAACTCCTGATTACAGGTAACCAAGACACTTAATTAGCACTTAATAACACTTATCACAACTAAGTCACTGCAAGAAGATTTCATGATACCTTACCCGCTCTTAGACTTGTATTCTTTAAGTTTGTCCAAGAACAACTGCTGGATTGGGTCGGATGCTTTCTGTAAAAGTACCGCAGAAATGCCAATGTTTCTGCGTCCAGCCGAGGACAGTTCTTTGCTGACAGTTTTTAAAATTGGTTGCGCCAACATCCTGAAAATGCACATATTATTGTTAATATTACGAGAATCTTAAGTTCAAGGTATAAATAAAAACACCCCTGGTGATATTGATAAGAAACACTGTCTTCTTCGCTGACCTTTGGTACGACAGAGTCGACTAGCTTTCTCTGTCAATTAGGATAACCAAGGAGAATGAAGGTAACGGAATCAGTTAAAGTAATTAGTGCTCCCTTTCAAAATAGACTGCGACCTTTTCTAAGGAAACTGTCAGAACAGCGATTTGATTTCTATTTTCTGTTTTAGGGTCAGGAGTAACTGATGGATTCATTCACTTACATGGACGTTTTGGGAAGAGGGTCATTCAAAAATGTTCACACACACACACATTTAAAAAACAAAAAAGTGAAAACAATAAGACCAGTGGCGTGTCGTGATAATCGACTATCCATACTATACCATTGGAAGCTATGGTAAAGAATCGGTTATTAAAGTGTTCGTTGAGAACACTTTGCTTATCGATCCTTTACCATCATTTTAAACGGCAGATTAAACGCTATCTCGCAAAGTACACCACGCCACTGCATAAGACGCTGGCTGAACTGAAGTTTTTTTTTTAGGGAAGGGGGGAGGGAGTTACTTAGCTTTGATTCTCTTCTCCTTTTATAAAGATGATTAGAGGTGGGTGCTTTCGTTGGGAGGCTTAAGTATATACTTCCGTGAGATAAGTTAACAGTTTTTGCTTTCTGCCTGTAGAAGGCCGCCATTCTATGGCGTCTGTAGACTGACTGAGGGCAATGATAAGTACTCCCAAGCAAAGATATGTGAATCGATGGACTGCACACGCAGTCTAAAGCATACAACTGCCAATTCTCCTGATAGGATTTACAGCGAGACTTTAATCCTCAAAAATATTTATCCCCTTGGATTGAGTCCATGAGTGAGTAAACAACGTTTGCGACACAAGACTATGGTAAGAACTTATCACAGTGACCAAAACTAAAATTTCTACATCATGTGTTTTAGAGCAGATCATGTGGTTTTAAGAACGGTGAATTTGAACGACCCCTTTCAAAGGCTACTGTCTGGCGATACCAGTCCGAAGACAATTCAGCAAGCATAAAGAGCAAAGTTCATTCTTTTCAGGCCAGAAGAATATCCAAACACTTCTCAGGTTCTGGTGACACCAAAGGCATGCAAAACAATTTCTTTAATGATATTGGTGTGTTAATAGGGATGCAGTTTGTGAGCTCTTCCGTACATGACATTTGGATTTTTGAGGTTAGAAATGGTGAAAGAGAATAAGAGGCGGCCGGATTACGATGGTCATTAGTAAGATGTTGCACTAATACATTAATACAGTAAATTAATTTTGACAATGAGAAGTGATGGAACACGCTACTAAATTAGAATCTGAAGTGTAAATTTGTAGATAAAGGAGAAATGAGGAACTTGTGACCTTATCAACCTTCATCAACTTCGAAGCTACGAAACTATAAAAAATGAGAAATTCGGTTGATAATAAGCACTGGGTGAGGAGTATGTCATCATGAATATCGATAATTTTAAATTTTAATGAATTTATTACCTGAAAATTTGGGAAATGCACGCAAATCCAAAAAGAAAAGAGTGTTCCGAAAGCACACAGCTGATAACAAAAACACTAAAAACAACAACAGCAGCAGAATGTTCCGGTTTTCGATTCCTTGTCCCGATTGAATTTGGAACAAGGAATGTATTGAAAATGGAACGATAAGAACCGCCAACAGAATTTTAAATTTTACAGAGAGTTCTTTTTTAACCAATCGGAGTTGTTCAATTTGAAAATCCACCAATCAGATTAGCTATAGTATTTCTTTATTCATCATGGTTTCGGTGGTTCATTCATCTTTTTCGTTGTTTATTGTGTTCATTCCAGTTCATTCATGAAGAGTAAAATTAACAATGGAATTGCGTCTGTGTGAGTGGACGGCCATGAAAGCCTTGATACCACCAGTGTGGGAGGATCTCTGAGCTACTGTGTTTTGAACTGAACTGAGCCAGCAAGTGCCGAAGTTGGTGTCTTAATTTAGTTGTTTTACTATAATTTGTGGTATCCAAGACTCAAAATTTCATGTGCTAAAGTGTTATTGTGAAAGTGAAGTGTAGGATCTCGATATTTCTGATACAGAGGTACGTTTCCCAGTTTCATTATGTCAAATATTTCTCTGTGTTTTTGTTTGGAATGCGGCACCTTGGTGGTATGCAGTGCTACCTTTACCTTTACTCCCGTACCAGAGTACTATTTTGAGCTATATTTGCTCATGATTCATCAACTGTATTTTACATACGCTCTTCACTGCGGAATTTTTCAATTCGCAACTCTTACCCATTTTCTGATCATCACTAAAGCTTATCAGCTATCTGTTTAGAGGATGCCCTAACCTATGAAAATTCTCTATTCACTTTGTAACAGTCTACCAAGTTTTATTCTTATTAGAACAAATTATCAGAGCTATCATTTTCCCTATTTTTAACCCATTGCTACTCTCGGCAACAGATCAAGACGGTTCCATCCAGCTGCGTTATTTTTATAATGGAGGCGAAAATTTCATGAAATATACAGCCCTGTCTTATTTCAGCCTTACCTATGTACTAGGTACTCTCCTGTCAGAGCTATAATTTTATTTGGAACGGCTTCGCCTTGTTCGAAATAATTAGGAATGGAGATTCAAGTTTATTTCAAGTAGACAGCTCCACAATGCTCAGTTTTATAGTGCAAGGTGTCCGCAAATGATTCAGCCCTGGTCATGCTATCAGACTGCCTGTCACTGTAAAGGGTATCATATGCTCGCACGCGTGCTCATAAGGGCATATGATGCGCCAATCAGTGATTGAATTCTCATCATTGTATAGTGTGCTGCCAAACATTAACGAGTGTCCAGGGTTTATTAACTAAGGTGATGGTACGAATATATGATATCCTCCTGAATGGACAAACGGTTTGATTGTGAGACCAGCACTTTATTCTCTGAATGCAGTCTCAAATTCCAAGTAACGTCTCCGAAGTCAGTGTGTGTCAGCAGATAACATAATGAGGCGTACATCATTTCTAAAAGTTGCTGTTACCTCTCATCCAAATTGACTGCGGTGGAAGACTTTTTTGTTTATATTATCTGCAGACTCCATGACTTATTTTCTTCCACAAATTGTCGAATCGGTAATAACTCCAAAAGATTACTGAAGAGAGGTGACAAGAGGTGAAGATTTTTGTAAGACCATTAAATTTTACAGACTGACAACAAGCCTAGCAGAGGGCTCTTCAGAATAGGTTACCTTTTTTCATCTTCTCACTTGAAGCTCATTTTCAAATCTCAAGTGATGGAGGATAACATATTGTTGTAGATCTAGTTTTGAGAATCGAACAATTTAGCCTTTCAACTCAGAAATTGAAAACAGTCAGCGTGACAGCTCCTGTTTTCAAGCTTTAAGGGTTTCTAGGGCGAAATATATGAAAAAACAATGAATCATGTCCTTTGGGAAGGAGCAGCAGAAATGCAGCTAATTCAGCTGATATGTGGAATATTGTTTCTCTGCACCGATTGAACGGTTCCCAATGAAATTTATGTACTCTAAACTGCGGAGCCAATTCTTTTCTGTCTCATCAGATTTTTAAGCTCTGATGTGTAGTAATAAGCACATATTACTTGTGAACTTTTTCCTATTGGTATCTTCTTGGTGAAGCTAGAAAGATGCTTGAGTATCTTTGTAATTTATGAGGTCGCAAATTTCCTATCAAACTTTAATATTTAAATGAAAAAATATTCAACTCATAATGTATCTTTCATCTCTGAAATTTTATGCTTCTTACTTACTTCTTACTTCTTATGCTTTTTTACTTTTTCTCTGGAAATAATTCCGAATTCCTTCCTAGAGTGCTCAATTTTTCTAACATTTTCCCAGGAAGGCTACTTGGCGCTTCTTTTGAAGCCCAGAGACTCCTTTCTAACACCCTCTGAAGCTGAAAAAGTCTTGTAGATCCTTCTTGATGGGATGCCTCCCTGTGTCCCCCTTAGACAACNCCCCCCCCCCCCCCCAATGAAATACCCTTCTGCCCCCTCACCTCAAAAAATTCCTGGTTTCGCCTATAATCACAGTATTACACTTTCATCACTGCTTTCTGTTTATTTTCCTAATGGCCTCTTTGAAGCTGAGATAGTCCTGTGGACTCCTCTTGATGGAGTGCCTCTTTGTGTCCTCCTCAAATGCCCTTAATGAGGTTCCCTTCTGTCCCTTCTGGGAGGGGGGCCTCCCCCCATCTCTTAGGGTTTGCGTTTTACTTGAAAAAAACATAATACTGTTTGAAAAGTTGGAGAAAAGTTTTTTTTTTTTTTTTTATTTGGAAAGGTTTGTTTTTCTGTATTGACGTAACTTATCTGGAAGTTTGCAATGTTACCAACCGATTTAAGTATTTTGTGGTTTTCTCACCGAAGTATTTGAGTATTTGGTACCAATCAAGTATCTCTCAATCTTTAACACATATTTTACCACGCTTTTCCTGTTTTGAGAAAGAATCGTTCCGATTTATCATCACATAAACTCAATGGCTAAACCAAGTACTATGTCTCACATGTTCGAGTAAAGCCAATTGTTGAAGCACTTTATATAACTCTCCTGGATTGGTTTCTTCTTTTCCCCTTCATTCTAAGCTTTCTTTTTCTCTCCCCCTCTCTAATTCAAAACGTAGACACTAACTCATCAAAAATCACCATGTTGAATATCATCGCCTTTCTGCTAGAATATATGATTGCCATTATTCGCATTTCCACTCCAAGGCTCCCTCGTATGTCATAAGTGGTTCGGTGATAAAGCGAAACCGTAATCGCATTCCTCAACTTTTTTATCTACTCAGGATTTCATCTACTTACCTACTCAGGAGCCAGTCGCTACGTTCCCGTTCGTTCGGTTGACGTTCTCACGTAGAAAGAAGCTCCTTTCGATAGTGAATTGGGTTGTGGTTTAGATTTTGGCCAACTTTGTTCTTCCTGTTCCTTTCGGGGAAATTTTCGTACATTTCGTTACTTTGACTGCGTGCTTACTAATTTAAAGCTTTATTCGTGGATATTTTACGTCGAGTGGATATTCTAACCCGCCCTCATCGCACAACGAAAGTGTTACTCACTGATACCCATCAGCGTTATTTGCGGTCGAATATTTCAAGGTAATCTTCTGTATTCGTTTTCTTTTTTCGATGCGGAGCGGGGGAGGAAGATAATCGTAAATTTCCCTTTTTGGCATGTCACTGCTGCCGTGCTCAGGAAAAACGATGTATGAACCTTCAGGCGTTGCCAAATTTCCTTCGATAAAGTACAAAGTCACTGTGGAAGTTGAGAATATTTTTCTTCCAATTTTTCGGATAATATTGTTTGCAGTTTGATCTTACGTATCTAAAATTTACCAGGAAAAATATGCTTAACTTTCCTCCAAAATAAACATTTTATCGGAAGATATTTGGCAACTCTCGAATATTCTTCCGGCGTTTTTCCTTATTAGCACGACAGTATGGCTATGCCCATCTTCTATACTGAAGTTGCAAATCTCCGTCCGCTCATCATTTTTCTCGATGACCGAAGTACGAAACCACGTATCTCCATTGCGACGTCTCAATATTTTCGCTCCTATTTTATTTTTTCGAAGAGAAACAAACCAACTTTATACCCAAACATTTACGCCGAATATGCTGCTGAAACAGAGAAGAAAAATCAAGGAAGTTTTTAAGAAATTGTATTGGCTAGTTTTGTAAAGAAAAAGTAAACTAAGACAGGAAATCTGCAATGTCACAAACGGATATACGTGCTTTCACCCCTTGGCCATCGATAAATCGAAATAATTGGAAAAAAAGAAGTAGAAAAATCAACAGTTTTTCCTTGAAATTTTCTGTAATTTTTCTCCACTAATTCCAAAAAATTTACCGAAAATTTTAAGAAAAGTTTTCGATTAGTTTTCTCATGAGGATATACAACATTATCGGTGATTTTGAGACATCGTACTTAATGGAAGTAATTACTTATTTTTGCGCTTACTTGCAAAAATGAAAATTATATGTAGAGAAGTAGATTAATCTAATGTTAGTGTGACATTTTTACCAGTAGGTAAATTGAAATCGTTAACGTTAGTTGTCTCCGTTTATCGAGTTTAAGCGTCTCATTTGGTTTTTCACCCATTCAAAAAGTGAAAATTATTTTTAGAGAAGTAGATTAATCTAATGTTAGTGTGACATTTTTACCAGTAGGTAAATGGAAATCGTTTAACGTTAGTTGTCTCCGTTTATTGAGTTTTAGCGTCTTATTTGGTTTTTCACCCATTCAAATAGTGAAAATTATATTTAGAGAAGTAGATTAATCTAATGTTGGTGCAACATTTTTACCAGTAGGTAAATTGAAATCGTTAACGTTAGTTGTCTCCGTTTATCGAGTTTAAGCGTCTCATTTGGTTTTTCACCCATTCCAAGCGAAATGTCGCATTATCCTGTTAAAGCCACCCCTATGTAAAATTATCGCGCAGTCGGTAGGATTCGAACCTACGCTCCCAGAGGGAATCTGATTTCTAGTCAGACGCCTTAACCACTCGGCCACGACTGCTCCGTGGCGGCTGAGGCCACTTTCGCGGCTGTTGAGATGAACCCCTCGATCCAAGCTCCGAAACTGGGCTTGCGTTAGCGGCCCACGCGTACTGGATTCCCCTGTGTGACGTAGCCGCCTGTTG